GGATCGCGACCCAGCGAACGGCACAGCTGGAACAGCCAGCTGCACCTCACTCGCAGGAGCTGCATAGGAACGTCCTGACACAGCCCCTGCCGGGGCGGCGCCAGCACCATGGGCGCTGCACGCCGCCCCCCCGGATCAGGGATGCCCGGGAGCGTTGGCCTTGTGCCGGCACTTATCTCCAAAAGGGCACGTCTGACCATCCAAGTGGCACCAGCATTTCGCTTTGGCTTTGCCCTTCTGACCACTTGTGTTGCCGCCCTGTGGCTTTCCTCCGTCAGGCGCGGGAGCAGCCAACTGCTTCCAGGCTTTCACGCTCCTCTCGGCCGCAGCCGTCTGCTCCGCGTTTCGGCTGCAAGGAGAAGCCTTGCAGGCCTTCTGCAGGTTTTGCCCCCAGGCGCCCCGCTCCTGCTCTTCCTGCTTCGTCGGCGGGCAGCGCCCGCGACCGCGAGAACCGTCGCAATTCGGGGGGCCTCGGCTGCAGGCATAGCAAACCTTGTTCTCGTTCTTCGCCCATTCTGCTTCTTGGGCCGGTCAGCCTTTCCGCCTTTGCTATCGCCTTTGCCCTTACCTCCATGTTTTCTGCCCTTGCCCCATGATTCGGCTTTGCCTCCCCGGCCCCTCCCAGTTGGTCCCCCATGGGTGGACCCTGGCGCGGCGGCCTGGGTCTGTCCGCGTTTCAGCTGTTGCGCGGGCGTCGCTATCTTGGGGCGCAGGCACTGACAGCCACTCCGACTGAATGGGCATCGGTCTTCGAGCCATCGTCGGCAGATGACAGACTTCTTGAGCCTTCCGTCTTTACTGGTGATCGAGTCCTTGCCCCCATCACCTGCCTTGCCACCGCTGTGTTTCACTCAGCGCTTGTTTATATGCTGCCTCTGGGCCCTGCGGTCGCCCCCCCCCCCCCCCCCCCTCGATCCTTCAACATCTGCCTCGCGATCTGTCCCGAGAGCCACTTGTAAGACTTCATGCCCTTCCCGTACTCATCGCTACTGTGATCATGCATGGCGAGAGTCATCTGCATGCAGGGGCATGTCTTCATCTGTTTGTAGAAGTGGTTTGGGATCGAGGGTCTGAAGGATTTGCGAGGTCTCTCCATTTCCAGCGCCACCCGCATTCATTCGTCGTAGAAATGGTAGAGGTCTTTATCAGCCTCTTTTCCATCTCCTTTGATCTGGATTGCCATGAGGCCCTGGTAGGTGCACACCTGTCCGTGGTCTCCTCTCGCGTGGCAACGTGTATCTGGATTATGCGGGGAATCGACCTGCCCGTCAGCAGTCGCCCTTTCTTCATTTGGTTTGTGTCCGCGCGGTCAACTTCGTTGGCAAGGTGGCGAAGGGCGTGAGAGGAATTGGGATCTCTCTGAATTTTCGTCAGCTTCCCTATGAGGTCCGCTGCTACGCGCATGTCGAGATTCCCGAAAAGCGGGCCTGGGTCTTTGAGCGTTTCGGCTTTCACCGTCATGGGCGCAAAGGCCTCGGCCATCCACTTTGACGCCGAGATGTGATTTTGTTGAGAGCATGAGGCCACTGTTCAAATGACGGACTTCCTTTCAGGTTCGGAAACTCCCCGCGTCGGGCAGGGGGTCAAGCGCGACTGCGTCAATTCTGCCCGCCGTCGCCCATGGGGCTGTGGTCGGAACCATTCCCCCATATTCTAAGATCCCCTGTCCGCCCCCGCCTCCAGGCGGGCCCGGTGGCGGAGGGCCACCACCACCCGGATTGCCATGATCGGAGCGCCGGGCAAGAGCATATCGACCGGTCCTGTAATTAGCAGCCTCATCATCTTCTTCTTCCTCGGATCCGTCATCCTCTTCGTCGTCCAACTCCTCCTTATCGGAGTCGTCTTCATCGCTCGGCTCGTAGTCGCCATCATCATCATCACTATCGCCGCCAGGATTATCACCCCCTGGCGCCCCACCTACGCCGCCTCTCTTTCCTCCCGCCTTATCTCCCTCACCGTCGGAATTGCCTTGGTGAAGAAGTTTATCACCGCCCCCTGCCAAATCCCCCGCACGGGCCGCGGTTGTCCTCGGTTGGGCAGGCGGCGTGCACCCTGAAAAGGAAAAAAAACACAAACAAAAAAAACTGTTGGTTTCTCCCGTGTCTTCTTCTTCTGTTCAACTTTCATTTCGGGAGTCAATTCCAGGTGTTCGAGATGATCATGTTTGGCCTTTTTCGCGCTAATTTCTGATGATTTCATCAGCGCCTCGGCCTTCTCTCGCATCTCCTTGGCTTGAGTCCGTGCATTCCCTTCTAACTTCATCACGCGGAGTTCTGCAGTTTCCTCAAGTTCCCGGATGCGGCGGAGAGCCCTGGCTTCCGCCTGGGCCCCGATCTCGTCTCTGGTCCGAGCATTCTCTTCCTCCTCGAGCATCCTTCCTTCTTCTTATTCTTCATGCTGCTTCCTCAGCACTGCTTCGTGGTCACGTGCCCTGTCTTGCTCGCACTGGCGGCAGAGTCTCATTACCTAGTCGAGGTGCAGTTTGAAGAACGGCCTTTCGCACCTCTCACACCTGCGCGGGGCATCGGAAGCGCTGCAAATGAAGCATCGGTTTTCATCGGTCATGGCCGGTCTGGATCGGGGGGGGGCCCGCTGACGCGCGGTTCCCTCCGACGTTCGGACCCGCGACGCGGTTGCCGATGCAGCCCTTCTGACCGTGCTTGCCATGCCCTGCAGACCGTCTTGCACCAGCTGTCTTGCTGGCTGTCGGTAGGTCAACTCGCGTTGAGCCCCCCGTTCATGGACGGTCGAGACAGCTTCCTTTCGGAAGTGTTGCTTTGCTGCCTCCTCTTCCAACTGGGCCTGCATTTCGGCATTCCGCCTGGCCCGAATTGCTTCCTCCGCCTCATTCCTCGCACTGGCATGGCCGGCCTGAGACGTCGCTGCGACCCGCTGAGCGCGCCGGTGCATGGACCTCAGCTCGGCCGCCCGGCGGACAGCCGACTCGCGTTCAGCGAGAGCCTCAGCCCTTGCTTGAAGCAGCGCCTTCGCCCCCCCTCTGCCCCCCCCCCCCCCCCCCGATGGCCGACGCGGATTCCGCGACTAGTTTGAGCTCAGCGTGTATCTTCGCAGCTCCAGCTTGCGACGCGCGAGCCTCGCTCTCCCCAACTCTCGCTGCGTCGTTTGCGCAGCTCGTAGGGGCGACGCGGCCGCCCCTTGGGCATTAGAGGCCTTCTCCTCCAAGTGGCGCGTCTCAGCGATTGATTTCACGGCGACTTGTTCCGCCCTAGAGACTGACTGTTCGCGGGGCGCCGTGGTTTCCCGAAGTTTCAGACGGATGCCGTTCTCGAGCTGCGCTTCCCTGTCTTGACCCCGGAAGGCTTGACGCGCTTGCTCGGCCATGGCCCGCTCGGTCTTCGTCTGCTCCTTATTAGCCTCGCGGTCCGCCGAAAGCGCAGCCTCATGGAGGATTGATTGCCCCTTCCCCTCTGGAGGATTTCATGCATGTCGCACTCTGCCTGCTGAGCGATCATTTCGGCCTGCCTTTCCTGATTGGCTTCCATGTCGGCCATCATCGCGCGCTCCGCAGCAATTTCGGAAATGCGTTATTGTTCCCTTTGCTGTTGCCTAAATTTCTTGCTGCTGCCCCCATTCGTGATTCTTGAGAGCAAAACAGTTGCGCTGCTTCGGAGGCGCGCAGTCATGGCACAAGTCGTTCAAATTACACAGCGAACATTGGAATAAGCAGCCTCGGCGCACTGGCTTCTTGCATGACCCGTCATCGGATGTTCGGCCGGGGCAGCAGCCCTCGGGGCCTTCTGCGCAGTTCGGCCCCTGATGGACACAAGCTTCCTTAACCATATATCGGGGCGTCGACGGCCTCGATAGAGACGAACTGCGTTGAGAGCTCCTCGAGGCGCGGCTAGGACCGCCTTTTCCGACCTTGATCTCTGGGAGATGGAGCTCGGGGAATCGAGGAGCTGTCTTCCCCGGAGTCGCGCCCCCGGCATTGGGCTGGGAACGTCGTGGACGCCCAGCCCACCGGTCTCGATCTTGGGGCGCTTCTCATAAGGCGACACCTCTCGATGTCGGCCGCGCCCCCCCTCGGGGCCCCCCCGTGCCGCGCTTCCGTCGCGGCCCCCCCGGACGATGGTCCACTGGGCCCAGCATGGTCTTCACGGTCTTCCAGAATGGGTTCCCCGGCCGGACTTCGGACATGGTCCGCAGTCTCCCTAGCAGGCGTTCTTTCGGGCATTGACGTCTCCATCGTCTCCGAAGAGCTCGAAACGGGAAAGGTTTCTTTCTTGGTCTTCGGGGTCTTTACCATTCGTCCTCATCCGACGAACTGGAGTCGACGACGTACGCGTGTGCAACATCGTCGGAGAGCGGGTTCAGGGGACGGACTTGCCGCCGCACCACTCGTCTCCTTCGTCGGATACATCTTCTGGGATCGGCGTATCCTGTCTTCCACGGTTGACAGGCATGCCATTCTTTCCTTCTTGCTATTGAATGCGCTGGGAGGTCGATGACATCGGGCCGTCGACCTGAATATCATACTTTCCTGGCTTCCTTAAGCCAAGGTCAGATCCCGCATTCGGTAGTTCTTGCGGGACGAGGATCATGTGAGCCCCAAGATGACCAACATGGTCGGTCATCCTTGGACCGACACTTTCGGCTGATAACCAATCTTTACCCAACTTGAGCCCAACAGGGCCAAAATGATCAGGATGTACAAGTGGTAAGCGTGGTGTTCCTAGCAATGGTTCCAAAAAGCGTCTTGGGCTCGAGGATTCCCGAGAGACCATGGCGGCAAAGAAATCGGCGGTAGCCGTTGAAGTATGAGGTTCGACTGTCCGTTAAGCAGATAGGGAGAAAAGAAAATGCGGGGCGCGCGCGTCATTTCCCTTTGATCCCATATAGCTTTCGAACAATCAAGTTAATGTTCAATTCAGTGCATATATGTACCTATACGGCGGCAGGGAGCGCATGGTAACAACTCATCCACCTCCACCTCACCGCGGCGAGCACCGAGAAAGAGAGCCACCGCCCGCCGCTGTCTCCTCGCGGCCACCCTCTTGCGCCGCGCGCCTCAGCAGCGCAACCTTGGCGGCCTGCACCGCGGACTCGCCGCCGCTGCGGAACGCCGCCTGGGGCCGCCGCGAGACTCTCGATCGCTGCTCTCTCTTGTTGGCCTCTCCTCCACTTCTTCCTCCTCGTCCTCCTCCTCCTCCTGATCCTGTTCCTCCTTCTCCTCCTCCTCCTCCAACTCCTCCTCCTCCTCCTATTATTCCTCCTCCTCCTCCTCCTCTTCCTCCTCCTCCTCTTCCTCCTGCTCCTCTTCCTCCTCCTCCTGCTCCTCCAACTCCTCCTCCTCCTCCTCCTCCTCC